CCTTGGTTTAGAAGCAACGGTTTCGCACGCCTTCTACCATTGTCCCCGAGTCCGCCACTTATGGGACTATCTCGGCGAGTTCACTGCTCGTCTCTCTCCCGAAAAGCTCGTGCTCATGGATCGTGCATACGAGTGTGACAATGTGTCACCCCCGTATTCTGGGGTGAAACAAATGGTGTTTCTGACACTGCTGGGTACGGCCCGAATGGTGATTTGGGCGAGGAAGTCTTGCGAGGCAACCGTCTTTCTCATCAGGATCTCATCCGATTCTTTGAGTATCATCTCAAAATGAAAATTAGAACTGATAGAAAACCCTTCAATTCGACAGTCTTCGTGAGCCTGGTTCGTTTGAACGGGGTTAGCCTTGATTTTCTCTTTTAGGTCAACCTTTGTCTCATCGGAGTGGTTTCCTGTGGAGCCCTCCGCTTGGTTAGGTTAGACAAGCTTTTGTGTACCTAGTTAATGTGAATAAGTGTTGTTCCAGGCCTGTTCCCGTCTACATTTTTGGTTATGATCCAAGTTGAGATTCCCAACCTCCCCAGGTTGTTTTGGCCCCATTTTATCTTGACTGGGTCAGCTTTTTCTTTCCCATGCCCGTATATATTTTCTCATTTTCGCTCTCCCTTAGCGAGAGAGCTACTTGATTTTGTCCAGTTGGCAGAATACAGCGGCCTCTCTTTTTTGGGGGTTGGACGGGCCCTACTTACTAACATCAATTATGTTTAGTTTACCTTGTGTTCATGTTTTAGTTTGTTATTGGGTTCATCTCCCTTCCCTCTCATTTTTCATTCTTAGAGTTTATGTATAATTTATTATTAAATTTTTATGACATGGGGCACGTTTTGTAGGTCTCCCTTGAGAGGATGTGGTATTATGGTGTAAGGAGGATTGATTGGCGACGTACGAGATTTTGTGGTGAATGTGCAAATTGTAATGAGTGAATGGGCCGTGAATCGGATTAGCTAGGTATAGGAGAGTTAGTGAAGACCAGCCTCAAACCCTCTCCTTTTTCGGCCTTGTGCCATAACTGTATTTTTATATACATTAAATATAACTTCGGCAATTAGTTGGAGATTCGTTTCCAGCTAATCTAGTCGAACTGTCTGCCTTCGGGCGGAGAGGAGTCCAGACGAAGGGTATGCCAGAAGCCAGAGTCTCGTCTGGGGTGGTAGACAGCAACCCGACCCCGTGTATACGGGATCTACGGGGAATTTTTACCCGAGCCTACGAACTCGGTTTTGTGCCGCTTTAAACAACGGCTTTGTGCCACATCCTGCCACGCGGGGAGGTAATGTAAATATCCTTGCTTCGGAAACTAGTTGGAGATTCGTCTCCAGCTGTGCTGGTCGAAGACTCTGCCTTCGGGCAGCGAAGAACCCAGACGAGCCTTAACCGTAGGGCAGAGTCTCGTCTGGGTTGGTGTATACCGGTCTACAGGGAATTTTTGCCCCGCATTAAAAAAACGGCCTTGTGCTACATCCTGCCTCGTGGGTAGGTAAAGTAAATAAACTTGCTTCGGGAATTAGTAGTTTGCTAACCGATTGCCTTTCTTCCAGTAGAGTATTCTCTTTAAAAATAAACCGCTTATTTTCCTCTACGCTCGTGTTGCTGTTCCTTTCACTCGAGTACCACGTTTGTCTGTAACCTTTTAAAGGATACAACATCTTTTTTAATCGGTATCACCCCAGGTAAGGCAGCACAGTCACTAGGACGCAAGGGGCTACAGGGTGTGGAAGAATTAGGAACAGAAACATTAGCAATGAGGAGAAAAAGAAAAGAGCAAACAGGACAGTAGATAGCGATTGACATTGCATTTAAATTTTTGAAGTTTAAAGTTGGTTGGTTTTGTGATATCAAAGAACACTCGTTGACACTTTTGTAATGTTAACGAATACTCGTCACTTCTGTAATGCTCGTTGTAGTAGAGACTTTTTAATCGCAGATACAAGTATATTAACGCTGTTGAACTATACTGATGTCACACGTCTTCGATAACACTTGCACTAATACTACTTGCTCGATTATACTCGCTCGAATAGTAATCACCAAATAGTGATCCGAATAGTAATCCCTATAGAGAAATAGTATAGTGAATAATATAGAGATAGAGGATACAGTAGAAAGAGTGACCCGTATAGTAAAAGAGGATAGACTAGAAATAGTGATCTGTATAGTAATAAAGGATAGACTAGAAATGGTGATCTGTATAGTAATAGAGGATAGACTAGAAATAGTGATCTGTATAGTAATAGGGGATAGACTAGAAATAGAAATCCATATAGTAATAAAGGATAGACTAGAAATGGTGATCTGCATAGTAATAGAGGATAGACAAGAAATGGTGATCTGTATAGTAATAAAGAATAGACTAGAAATAGTGATCTGTATAATAATATTGGATAGACAAGAAATAGTGATATGCATAATAATAGAGGGTAGACTATAAATAGTGATCTGTATAGTAATAGGGGATAGACTAGAAATGGTGATCTGTATAGTAATAAAGGATAGACTAGAAATAGTGATCTTTATAGTAATAGAGGATAGACTAGAAATAGTGATCTGTATAGTAATAGAGGATAGACTAGAAATAGTGATCCGTATAGTAATAGAGGATAGACTAGAAATAGAAATCCATATAGTAATAGAGGATAGACTAGAAATAGTGATCTGTATAGTAATAGAGGATAGACTAGAAATGGTGATCTGTATATTAATAGAGGAAACTAGAAATAGTGATCTGTATAGTAATAGAGGATAGACTAGAAATAGTGATCTGTATAGTAATAAAGGATAGACTAGAAATAGTGATCTGTATAGTAATAGAGGATAGACTAGAAATAGTGATCTGTATAGTAATAAAGGATAGACTAGAAATGGTGATCTGTATAGTAATAGAGGATAGACTAGAAATAGAAATCCATATAGTAATAGAGGATAGACTAGAAATAGTGATCTGTATAGTAATAGAGGATAGACTAGAAATGGTGATCTGTATATTAATAGAGGATAGACTAGAAATAGTGATCTGTATAGTAATAGAGGATAGACTAGAAATAGTGATCTGTATAGTAATAAAGGATAGACTAGAAATAGTGATCTGTATAGTAATAGAGGATAGACTAGAAATAGTGATCTGTATAGTAATAAAGGATAGACTAGAAATGGTGATCTGTATAGTAATAGAGGATAGACTAGAAATAGAAATCCATATAGTAATAGAGGATAGACTAGAAAGTGTGACCCTTATAATAACAGAGGATAGACTAAAAATGGTGATCGGTTAGACGTCACGCTACTTCCCATATATAAATTTCATTTGCGATCACGTGGTCTACTTATTAAAAATGGAATCACCCGTGTTTGCTCACTAGTGATCTGTGTTCAAACTCTATCAAACTTCTATATAACAGTTGAAAAGCATGGTACGGTGAGGGAGTTCCACCAGCGAGAGCTGTTAACAGAAATAACGGCTACATTTAGCTAGCTCAGCCTTAAATTGATGAGAACTCGCCGCCTGTCTAGTATTGTGCTCGACTACAGTCTACGTAACATAGCGACGATCTCATCTGAACAGTTGCCATGAAAGTATTTATAAAAAGGGAACAGAGAACCAACCTTACGCTGGTGAGCAAGTGACTATTAACACAGGAGCAGTAATTGTATCATCAGCATAGATACGGAGTTGAGCAGAAACCAGACGAGTAAATCCTAGCTTGATGACGCTGTGACCCTATGCTCTCCAGGGGAGTCTACTGTGTTAACATACAAAGTTAGGATGGATAATCATTTAATTCTCCCCTTATTTTTATGTTATTGACACCTCTGAGTTTCTTTTTTGATCTTTTTTTTTGTTAGTAATGTTTATGGACCGTGTATAAGTTGAATTCTTCGGATAAAAGATTCATTCTACTTATTCAGGTACGTATTGATAGATAAGAATAAGAAGTTATTAACATGTATATGCTACAATATAATCTTCGTAAAAAATTTCATAGCGCCACTATTCAGTTTTTTTTCCCCTGGTAAACCTTATCTTTCATCTAAAACATAAGAATAACTGAAACGAAATTCGTAACTTATTATGTACGACTGCCGGAAAACAATGGAGGGGTTTAAGACAAATTCTGCACAAATTTAAATATCTGGGAAGTGTTTTGACAGCGGACGGTAAGAGTGACGCTGAGAACCGAAGACGTACTGGGATGGGCAAAAACGCATTCCAAAAGCTATACAGAGTATTACGAGACAGCAAGATTTCTTTGGTAACAACGAAAAAAGCACGGAGTTACTCCGTGACATATGTCCTCCTTTACGGAAACGAATGTTGGGCATTCTCTTCAAAGATGAAGAAGAGTCTCGAGGCAACGGAGGTATGGTTCTACAGAAGGAAGGATATCATGAACCGAGCGTGTGAGCAACGATGAGGTTTTCGAGAGGATGCAAACAAGGAGGAAGCTTATAATTAACATCAGGAAGAGGCAGATGAGACATGTAATAAGAAAGGAGGGCCTGGAGAATCTGATACACACAAGTCGAATAGAGGGAAAGAGGGACAAGAGAAAGCAACGTATGACATATCTGGCGGGTTTAAGCAAATGGATGACAAAACATAGCCTGGGGAAAGTAGCAAAGCGACAAAACTTATTGAGAGCTATAAAGGATAGAAGGAAATAGAGAGCCATGATCGTCTACGTCCTGAAGGGACACGGCACATAAAAAGAAATTAGAGGGGCCCATCTTTCATGAATTCAGAGCTCTCATTCCTGACTAGTAGATGTATTAAGTTTAAAGAGCTTAGTCTGTCCAGATATATTTAGGATACAGGGAGAGGTAACTAGACTCACGTCTTTTCTATAAGGATTCATTAAAAAGTGACCGACTGAGTCTGAATTAGAACACGGCACGCCGATTACGCATTTCGCATCGGTAACAGTTACGCTAACAGCATCTCACGTTGAATACATAGATTCTCGTCTCATCATCGGATTTAAGTTAAGACTTAGGAATCTATCTATCTATCTATCTATCTATCTATCTCAGATTTTTTCAGTCTGCCTGTCTGTCTTTTTCATATCTATCTATCTATCTATCTATCTATCTATCTATATATCTATCTATCTATGTCCAAATTTTTCTTTCTTTCTTTCCATCCATCCATCTATCCACCCAACCATCTCTTGGTTTGTCTGTCTATCTATCTATCTGTTTCATATCTATCTATTTCAGAATTTTTCTGTCTGCCTGTCTTTTTCATATGTATCTATCTATCTATCTATTTATCTCCAAATTTTTCTTTCTTTCTTTCTTTCTTTCTTTCTTTCTTTCCATCCATCCATCCATCCATCCATCCATCCATCCATCCATCCATCCATCTCTTGGTTTATCTATCTATCTATCTATCTATCTATCCGTTTCATATCTATCTATTTCAGAATTTTTCTGTCTTCCTGTCTGTCTTTTTCATATCTATCTATCTATCTATCTATCTATCTATCTATCTATCTATCTATCTATCTATTGCATTATATTCGTCCCTCGTAATCAGCCGACCATACGTCTCATTCCCACGGAGGCGTTTCTTTGAATCCTCATCAAAAGGAAACTATTCTCTCCCGGATGTTCAGATTTGTGAACATTAAATTTAGAAAAACCTCAGGAGGTAAATATCTACAAAGTGATTAAAACACATTCTAGTAAATGGCGAGTTTATTCCCTCTTTGCCTTGGTCTCCCCATTTCTGGCTCTATTGTTGTCAGCATGCCAAACTATCTATCTATCTATCTGTTTCATATCTATCTATCTATCTATCTATCTATCTATCTATCTATCTCAGTCTGTTCCTGTCTGTCTGTATATTTATCTTTTTTTAATCATTTCACCACAAGCAAGGCAACAAATCCACTGAGACGCAAGGGATTACTAGAATGAGTAATTCTCTCTCTCTCTCTATTTACCTGACATATTCTATCTATCTATCTATCTATCTATCTATCTATCTATCTATCTATCTATCTATCTATCAAGCTAGCTAGCTAGCTAGCTAGTTACTCAGAAAGATAGATATCGACATAATGTGTTAGCTTGCTAACTAGATAGATAGAATATGTCAAATAGATAGACAGAATATGTCAGATGGATAGATAGATTGATAGAATATGTCAGATAGATAAACAGAATATGTTAGATAGATAGATAGATAGATAGATAGATAGATAGGTTATGTCAGATAGATAGACAGAGTATGTCAGATAGATAGAGAAAATATGTCAGATAAATAGATAGATAGATAGATAGATAGATAGAATATGTCAGATAGATAGAGAGAATATGTCAGATAGATAGATAGATAGATAGATAGATAGATAGATAGATAGAGAAAATATGTCGGATAGATAGACAGAATATGTCAGATAGATAGATAGATAGATTATGTCAGATAGATAGACAGAATATGTCAGATAGATAGATAGATAGATAGATAGATAGATAGATAGATAGAATATGTCCGATGGATAGATAGATAGATAGAATATATTAGATAGATAAGAAGGAAATGTATTTTTTATTAGAATGCTTTACCTCTCCTGACAGAAATTATCATATTCTTTTTATATTTGTTTACCTATCTATGTCTGTTCAAAAATATCTATATATATATCTATATATATATCTATATCTATCTATATATATATTACTACCAAGATAGACATGCACCCCATTCTTCGTTTGGCGAATCTTACTAAAGGTGTCCGTTATAGTGATTCAGACGAATGTAAACTCAGCAAATACCCTTCATACCATTCATATTTCAATCTGTAAGTAAACAAGATTCAGGCTAAAATGTGGCAATCCCCAATTTGACAAAAAACATGAACAAAACAAAATCAAAAACAAGAAAAATGATCCTAGCTATTAAATCCCAATTTATTTCTTCTTGATCTATTCTCAGTTTTCGCATCTCATCGCCAGGAAACAAACAGCAGTTGACTTTTCAAGACGGAAACAAATATTTTATTTGAAAATGTATCCTCTTCGATTCTCCGTCTGGAATTGCTCGAGTTCTGTTTTCTCTGCTAACAGGAAAACCAGGCCTATGAATTCCAGACAAGAAAAAAGGTTCCGCGTTCCATGTTCACCAAGAAAATTATTACAGCTGTAACATTTAACCTTAAGGAATTAAGCTTGTATCGTCTGGATCAGCATTGAAACAGCAGATATCACAACATCAAAATTAAGACCCGTACTGTTTGAGCTATTTTCAGAACAAAGTAGACCTGATACACCATCATCCGACTACGGAAGTTAAGCAACGCTGAGCCTGCTCAGTACCTAGATAGGTGTTTTCTAGTTTATCCAAAACAAACGGTATGTGCGTAAAAAAACATACTCAAACAATGTGCGAAAACATCGCACATATAATGTCTTCGAGACATATACAGAAACGCTCGTTCGCTCGCACACACACGCATGCACTTACGAATATACATTCGGTATTTATCATTTCACCCACGGGAAACGAATATGGCACAAGGCCGGTTTTATTGTGGGTTTCTCCGAGCCCGTAGGCTCGGCCAAAAAAATAGCCTTTGAAGCCGATTAGACGGGTTCAGGACCTGTCTACCTCCCCGGACGAAACCTTGACCTTCGGCAAAGCCTCGTCCGGGTTCCTCTCTGCTAACGCAGAGAGTTCGACAGAAGGCGTGAGCAGTAAGAGACCGCTCAACACCATTCAACGAATATGCATTATCATCTAAATCCCACATAGACAAACATTATGCACTTACATATAGCAATATTTATAGTTTAAAGTTAGTCTTGAAATCAGTTAAGTTTTGGAGCTTCGAAGGCACGCGTCATCTCTCCTTCAATTCGGAACGCCAAAAATGATACTGACGTTTGTTTAACAAGTCGAATGTACATGAAACAAGATTAACCAATCAATATCAAATAACACAAAACCAAAAGTTCTTTTTTCTTTTCCTTCATATATCATTCTCTGATGAAGCTTTAAAAAACATATCAGAATCATAAAAGTTTCAGATTTGATTTTATCTTTTCAATATATCGGATTAAGATCCATATTTAATCTGTATTTTAGCCAAACTCAATTTCAAAGAAGGGTACCCATTAAAATAACGTTTGAAGTAATAAAAATGCCGGATTAAAAAATGCATTTATTATATATATATATATATATATATATATATATATATGTATATATATATATATTTCTGAGACGAGGTATTATGTACATTATTTCCATTATTCGGACTATTGTCCTCATCTTTGTCGCCATATTTATTACAACGTTTCGGCCGTTGTACGCTTCGGCCTTCTTCAGTTGGTTGGAATGTCGAACTAAACCCTTTATTTCGCTCACTGGGGTAGACTGTTCTATTTCCACGTGCCATGTTTTAATGGATGTCAGTTATCAGTTATCTCCTTTTAATTTTCCCTCTCCAAGTTCTCCACTGCTTTAACCGGGTATTGAACTCACACTCTTTGGGTCCTGTCACTGGATCTAACTAACGTCTTTATCCACTGTGCCATGTGTCCTTAAGGAACTAGAACAGTCTATCCCAATGAGGGAAATAAAGGTTTCAGTTCGATATTCCAACCACATAAAGAAGGCCGGAGCGTCCAACGGCTGAAACGTTGTAATAAATATGGCGACAGAGATGAGGGCAATAGTCAATAATGTAAATAATATATATATATATATATATATATATATATATATATACCAGGTGTAACAGCAAAATTGTCCAATTGTTAGATTGGGCTATGAAACGTTGTATCTTAGAAAGTATTAAAGATATCTTACTGGAATTCTCCGATGTTTTTAACACTATTGAACTCTACTTTGAACAATAAGGATGTATAATTACTCTCTAAGCTTAAACGAAGTATCGTGATGAAATCGTTCATAAACGAAAATGATTTGTTTATCATTAATTAATCATATCTAAGAATCGGAAGACAATGAAGTATTGACAGATAGTTCAGTCATATATATATATATATATATATATATATATATATATATATATATATATATATATTATTCAAGGATCATTTTCCAATTATTTTCGCCCGTTCTAACCTTCTAACTATTTATGTATTTATTACACTTTAACAGTGTAAGCAAGTGCATACATCTATGTACATGTATGTATAGATGTAGAAAATGGAAATGTATTTGGATATATTTATATGTATATATATGTGTGCGGGTGTATGTGGAGATATGTATGTGTATATATACTAAAAAATCTACTAATCTAACAGTATTCTCAAGCACAACTATTTCTACAGTGGCATAGAATGGTCAGAACATATTTAAAAGATCCAGTGAACGACTGTTCTGTGTTTATATATATGTATGTAGTGTGTATTTAGGCAGCATTTTTTCATTAGTGCATGTTTCATTAAATAATATAGACAAGTGATGTTTATTTATTTTATGTAAATTCTTTTATATATTCTTAAATGCCTATAATTCTGTAACAGAAGCCATTGGTTTATACCAACGTCTTCCCATACTTAATACTTCTCGTTTTCACTCTCGCTTGGTAATGTGTGGCGTCATGAGCTGCGGTGTGATTTTCGCTTCCAGCGTCTTATATGCACGAGTTTGTCATTGTTTGGAAATCTTCCATGTAAGCAGAAACAGACTATCATCACTGTCTTGTCCGTGTATTGCTTAATATATTGTAATATAATTATCATCTTTGATAATGGCTTATGTAAGCCGAAAGCATAGATAGGATTAAAAAATATGTCTCAATATTGTGATTTTCTTTCTTCGTTTAATGATAATGTTATTAAGCTTATCAGACGTTATGAAAAGAATTTACATAAAATAGACAATAGTTGTCTATATTATTTAATGAAACATCATCAATATATATATATATATATATATATATATATATATATATATATATATATATATACGGAAAAGCTTAAATATCACGTTTAATAGGAAACGTTTAATATTGACATGTAAAATGAAATACCGAAATATGTGAATATTGAAATATACCACAGGTCATAAAGAATATCATCTCACAAATATGATAATATTAATTTTACAATGTTTCTCCAAATTCAATAGATTGAATCTGAAAAATATTTTTACTAAACTATGACTTCGAGTCACTTCAGGGCGTAGGCGATTATAGTTCTCCACAATTTCCTGTTCTTCGTAGCTCTTACAAATGCGTTTTTGTTATTTCACCTAATCCTTGTTTCGCCATCTATTTAAGTATGTTATGTGATTTTGTCTTTTGTCCCATCTTGCCATCAATCTAACCTGTGAGTATCAGATTTTCCAAGCCGTTTTTCCTCTTTCTCTGCTCTAGAAATTTCAACTGTCTATTCGTGATTTGAAGCATAAGTTTCGTTTTTGTTTCCATTTTTTCTAGAACTTCTTCGTTGCCCACGTGTTCGGTCCATGGACCTGCGAATATCAGTTTTCCAAGCCCTCTTTCCTCATAATATGCCCCAGAAATTTCAACTTTCTGATTTTAAGCATAAGTTTCTTTTTTGCTTACATTTATTATGAAACTTCGTGGTTGCTTACATATTCGGTCCATGGTATCCTCATCATCCTTCTGTAGAGCTATATTCCTGTTGCTTCATGTCTCTCTTCCATCTTTTAGGAGATTGTCCAGCATTCATTGCCATATAGGAGGTCAGTATGACTACCAATCTTAATTTAGTTTTGATGATTTTCTTTTTTATTACCCTTGTCGGAATTCTGGCAATAATAAACTGTATTTAAGACATGGCCCTTCGTCAATAAATCGCCGACCAGTTTTTTCTCTTTAGTTTTTGACGTTGAAAACAAAGTTTATTGTTTTTTTTTACTTTTACGTTTAGAGATTTGGTTTTGATAGCCGTTTCTTTAGACATTCCACAGACCATTTAGTGGCTTTCTTACAGTTTCCAGGAAGATGTTTCGTGCTTTGTAAACATATCAGGTGATCGAGGTAAAATGATTTTCATGTTCGAAACAAAGATATCAGCCAACATGAATACACTCAGAAATCTTCGGTCGTCTCGCAAGAAAATTAAATCAAAGCAGCGAAAAATCTCTGAATTCAGAGAAATCGATTCTGATGTTAGCAATGGAGAACTAAAATCAATTTCCCGCGTGAGGTTCTGTAGTTTTGGGGGACTTCATTGAATGTTGATCTCATGAGTATAGGGGAGACTCTTGTACTTGACGGATTGGGAGTTTATATAACTGTCTACCATCCTGTTGTTCTTTGTGTGCACTTCTTAAGCTCAGCTAGGTCAAGATCTTATTTACATATCGGGGCAGGCACAGACATCCTTTGGAGGACGATGATGCTTGTGGTTCCTATGAGAATACATCTCAGTTCAAACCTTTTGATACATCTGTCTCGTCAAATGCTTTAGTTTGAAACTGCTTGCAAACCCTAGATTGGCATCTTAGGATGACCCCATTACATAGTGGGGCCACCACAGATCAACTCTTTTAGAAGAAAAGTAGCTCATTTACATTAAATTCCAGTTAGACCTTGTTATATAGGAATAAAGTCTCGCTGCCGACACTTGAGTTTGAACATAGATCGCCAGTGAGCAGACACAGGCGATCAACATTATTGAATTAAGTGGATCATGTGACCATAGAGGAAATGCATATATATAAGAAGACGTGTGACATCTAGAGTGATCGCTATTTCTCTTCTATCCTCTATTACTATTCGGATCACCATTTCTAGTCTATCGTCTATTGCTATAAGAACTGCTATTTTCTACTCACTATACTATTTCTCTATTCGGATCACTATACGGATTACTGATTGATCGAGGATTATCGAGCAAGTACTATTAGTTTGAGTGTTATTCGAAGGCTTCTGACACCAGTATTGTTCAACGGTGTGCTATAAATTGTATCTGCCTTTACAAAGTCTCTACTACAGCGAACATTACGAAAGTGACAACGCGTATTCGTTGGCATTACCAAAAGTGGAATGAGTGTTCGTTGACATCAAAAAAGACCTCTTGAATATCCTGGCATAAATACCATACACTATGAAAGCTAGATTTCATGAAGCATTTAATAGATATGGTTAATTCTGACAGACCGGTTCCAAGATTTAAAGGAAAATATTTGTTGACTGTTGCAAAAGCTTCAATACTTTAAAGATATGAATGTACATCATTAGCAGGTCAGAAATGTAGTGTCCTGAATATCGCTTGGGCGTTAAAATGACCGTCTCTGAAACGAAAATGTATAGAAAATGCTTTAATCGCTCGATCGTCCGTAAAAAAAAAAATTATGGCAGATCTTCTAAGATCTAAGATCTAAGATCTTGTTATGGTCTGGTTCCTTGTATCACGGTGATAGTCCAAGGTAGAACCAATAAAGAAGAACTCGAACACGGATATGGAATAACACAGATATATTACAAACAGGAATATATACAGAGAAGTAGAAAGTGTTGGTATGAACAATTAGGTTTAGTAGAAAGAACAATGTAGTCTCGACCAGTATCACTATTCCAATGTCTTGCAGTAATTGTCTGAACGCGACTCTGTTTCGGACTGCCTCTGACTCGACTCTTGACTTGACTTGAACTACTGACTATATTTAGTCACCCCACCACACGTGGGCATTATGTGGCACAAGGCCGGTTTAACGAGGGATCTCCGAGCCCGTCGGCTCGGCCCCAAAATATGCCCATTGAACCCGTATAAACGGGTTCAGGGTCGGTTTACCTCCCCGAAAGAGAATCCGCCCTTCGGCGTAGCCTCGTTCGGGTTCCTCCCCGCCCGAAGGCAGAGAGTTCAACCGATCAGCCGGTCGACCGAGATCGACTTGAACGACCGACTCTTTGCCTAATCCTGAGGCGCGGTATCTATTAAGTATGGAATAGTCCATTATTATTATTATGGGTAAGATCCCATAACAGATATTTAATAGTAAAAATGATAAAAGTATAAACAAAAAGAATCTAAATTAAGCCGCCTAGACTATATGCCTTAACAGATATTAAAAAAATAAATTTAAACGTTTAATTTTTCAGCTTTCCCCTTCCTTAATACGCATGCGTAGTTAATTCAACATTAATATGACTTATGTGTAAAAAGTGTAACGCGTTTCGTCATTTAGGACATCATCAGACTAAGTTTATATTCACGTCGATGCGACTACACATGTAAAAGAACAAGGGTCATTGGGAATTTTAAAGATGATTACTTCTTATGTGTTTTGGGTACATAATTTCTTCGATTATATTTAGGCTCTTTTAATGTTTTTGTTTTCATGACTTTCCTTATTAAATATCCCAAATTGAGATAATAGAAAATCTGCCAATAATGGTGAAATTATCTATCTATCTATCTATCTATCTATCTATCTATCTATCTATCTATCTATCTATCGTAATTATCTAATGAATAATGTATGTTATATTTATTAATACGACAGATTTTTATTCCATTAAGTGTTATTTTTAGTGTACACTCATATTTGAGTAGGGGAACCGTTTGTTATTCTTTCAGGTTGGTAGATGTAAATAAATAAATATATTTTAATAAATAAACGGAGCTTAGTTTTTAGAAATGTCTAGTAATATTAAACATCACATATTTATTTCTGTTATTAGATTTTGTACCTACAAAAATATTTTCATATATATATATATATATATATATATATATATATATACACGGACACAAATACATATATATATAGTCATTCACATTTTATATATATATATATATATATATATAGTCATTCACATGTATATATATAGTCATTGACAATATATATAGTCAATCACACACACACACACACACACACACACACACATATATATATATATATATATATATATATATATATATATATATATATAGTCATTCACACACAAGAAGTTGAGCAGAGAATTCGAGGGGATTAAAATAAAATAAGTAGACATAATATGTCCAGATTATTCAATCAAACATGTTTATATAAAAGATATATTTATATATATATATATATATATATATATATATATATATATATATATATATATATATTTATTTTAAATTAATATTTATGTTTATATATATATATATATATAGTTATATATAGATATTTTAAGTTAATATTTATGTTTATACATTCTTTTGATAGATACAAATATTTAATCAAATGCTCTCTTTATAATAAACAGTATTAAACAACATTTACCGGCCTGAATGTCCGAGAAATTTTCATAGAAAATATTCGTCCTCCGACAGGAATCGAACCTGTATCCTATATTGAACCGTTATATAGCCTGACGTGCCTTCAACCGATTGAGACACAGAGGATCGTTCGGTTAGCAAGGTCGATTTTACCGTCTTTAAACTTCAATCTTCCATCATTCACTCACGTACATTCATATCTGCTCATGGCGTATCCAAATGTAAACAAATGACGTCACACATTATGAAATGGACAAAGTCCGACAATTATTTTATGACATTTTTAACACACACACACACACACACACACATATATAAAAATATGTGTGTGTGTGTGTGTGTGATTATATGTGCATTTGCATACAAAAAACAATGCTGGTATAACGAACAGACAACTTGACGATAGATCTAAAACCTTAGAAAAGAAAAAATCCTGAACAAAGAAAGAAAGAAAAACAAAACAAAAGCCAAACACCTAATTATGTAGTAAAGTGGTAAATGTCTAGACTATCTACAGAGAGCAAAAATTCTTCATGACATTAACACTCAACGAAGGACAGCACGAGTCACTAATCAAATTTCATGCTCACGCAATCTTCAGGCGATTAATATATATATATATATATATATATATATATATATATATATATATATATATATATATAATAATAATAAAAAGAAAGAACAGTAAGATATATAATGTTGTGTTCTTATTGATATTTTTATTTTTACAAAACAGTGCACAATGTAAATTTACAGAGCATAAATATTTAAAAAAACAAAATAAAATTTAAAAAAATGGGAGCTGGTAATATGCATATATTTGATATGTAATAATAATTTTTAAATAATTTAAGTAATTCTATCACATTTATTTGTTTAAAAAAGAAATATAGTCTATTAGTAATTAATAATAAAACAATATTTTAAAATTGTAGTTCAATATAACATATGCTGACACAACCACCACTTCTAGAAAGAATCTTTTATCTATACAAGTACGAATTTAACGGAAAAAATGCCAAAAAACTAAAAAAAAAAAACCCAGACGACATGCGTTTAACGGATGTCAAATTCGTTGAAAAATGCACCCCTACACTACCAAGACTTAACCTCTTTTTCGAATGTAACTCATAATTGATACAATAATAGTTAATAAAACTGAACACGCTACGGCCCCTGACTGAATGATTGAATTTCTCTGTATCCTTGGAAACAAAAAATTATGAATTGTATGTGCGTTTAAAACTTAGTAAATTTGAAAATAAGTTATTCCAAAATTCGCTTCGACAAGAAACAGAACTAATGCGTTTAATTTTAATTTAATTATATATTTAAATTTGAAGCTTTTAGCTACGGTTTTTGAAACATGGTAATTCCTGTGTAGCGAAGAAACCTTATTTTAAATCAGTTAATTTATAGCATATATATATATATATGTGTGTGTGTGTGTGTATGTGTGTGTGTGTTCTGGGCTGGTGCTCTTGCTATTCATCTGGCGGTTCTTAACAAAATTCAAAGAAGGATCTGCAATTTAATTGACCCTGACTTGGCATCTCGACTCCAGTCATTTTATCACCGACGTAACGTGTCTTCCCTCTGTCTTTTCTACAAATATTTTCATTGCACCGACTACAGGAATTAAAGTGTTTACTGTTGAAATAACTAAAATCAACCGCCACTTCTACTCCAGCTCAGATATGACACCGATACTCCATTTTTGGTCTGATCTCGCTTTTCTAAAGATAGAGTATAGCAGCTCCGACTAACCATTTAGTGACTTTCTCATCGACATTAAATGCCTTCCCTTTAGTTTTTCTATTTTCATGGCAATTGCTCTGACAAGCTCTGTTGCCCCGACGACATGAATTTAAGCGTGCTACTAGGCCCCACACCTTTACTGTTGAAATAGTTAAATACAACCACCACTTCTACTCCAATAGTTTTCTCGCACTTCCCGGCTGTTGATTTCCCTTTTGTTTACGTGCTTCCCTGATTACTACTTTAAAAATTAAAATGCAACGTCAATCGCCATCTATCTTCTTCAATCTCGTTCATATTTTTTCCTTTCCTCAATTCTCCCTATATTCCATCTTCTCTCACTTTCACTGTCTGAAAAACCATTCGTACTAGTGATATTCCTACCTTGCTTGCAGGTCGGGGGGAGGAAATGATTAAAAAAAAAAATTCATGGGACACACCCTTTGATTGAAAAGCCGACAATAGTCACTTTTATATTAGCCACAAATGTCAAGGAAAATATTTTGATAAAGTTGGTTTGTTCATCGCGCGCGATTTATTCAGCAAAAAACAATTTTTTATAGTTCCTTGAGTGTTACTTGAGCCTTGCATTTGATAAATATTAGTAAAGTTTGGTTTGGTTTGTTTTGTTTTATGGCATATCAACCTCAATGGGTTATTTAATGCCGACAACATTTTTATTGCTGGCAATATTTTTTCTTCAAAAATGTATTGCTGGCAATATTTTTTTTTCATAAATGTATTGCTGGTAATATTTTTCTTCAAGTATATATTGCTGGTAATAATGTATTTCTGGTAACAATTTTTTCCTTCAAAAATTCATTCTTGTTAATAATTTTATTACAAAAAATATTTTGTTGGCATTAATAATTATTTTTACACTTCCGTAGTATTTTGACTCCGGTTTAATTATTTGCCCATATCTGAGACCTTAACAGGTGCTACCACCCTGGGTAAAGGTGGCCCTGGGAACACCAGCAATTAAGAGGTGGTTCCATGCTCCTCAAAACCTCCTGATCAGAGGCCTTGCTGTTAGATGTAGTTTACTTAGGACGGATATTATTAGTAAAGAACAAAAACATGATTGCTTTGTTAAACTGTTGGAAGAAAATTTTAAGTTTAGGTTTTCTTATTTTATGTTTCATTTAAAAAAGTAACGAAATATGTAACTGCATATAATTTCTCATCTTTAAAAACATACATTTAATCTTTCTCGAAAGGAGTTTGCTTTGCTCAGTACATTTTAGAATAGTGTAAATTTTCATTTGAACGTCTGCCTCAAGATCGGAGATTCGAATCTCACAAACATTTTACTTGTTCTGCTATTTACTGCAACTACAAGCTGCTCACATAATGCCAATTCTAAGATAAATCGATCTATAGTGACTCCTATAAATGTACTGAGGTCACACCAACAACCGATTTCTAAGATCAATGATTAAAAATGACTTTGTTCTGGCGCTACAGAATCACAGACAAATAACTGTACAAAATAACAGAAACCACATCACTTGGGGATTACAGTACAAAAAACTAAAATGGATAACATGTTTAACTTGAAGAGAAAATAATGACATAATCAAGATGTTGACATTCCACACTACTTGAAACAAAAGGTTAGGAAGGAAACCTCCATCAATACTGGAAAGAGTGATGACAGCTATTGGGCTTGAGAAGAGAAAATAATGACATAATCAAGATGTTGACATTCCACACTACTTGAAACAAAAGGTTAGGAAGGAAGCCTCCATCAATACTGGAAAGAGTGATGACAGCTATTGGGCTTGAGAAGAGAAAATAATGACATAATCAAGATGTTGACATTCCACACTACTTGAAACAAAAGGTTGGGAAAGAAGCCTCCATCAATACTGGAAAGAGTGATGACAGCTATTGGGCTTGAGAAGAAAATAATGACATAATCAAGATGTTGACATTCCACACTACTTGAAACAAAAAGGTTAGGGAGGAAACCTCCATCAATACTGGAAAGAGTGATGACAGCTATTGGGCTTGAGAAGAGAAAATAATGACATAATCAAGATGTTGACATTCCACTACTTGAAACAAAAGGTTAGGAAGGAAACCTCTATCAATACTGGAAAGAGTGATGACAGCTATTGGGCTTGAGAAGAGAAAATACTGACATAATCAAGATGTTCACATTCCACACTACTTGAAACAAAAGGTTAGGAAGGAAGCCTCCATCAATACTGGAAAGAGTGATGACAGCTATTGGGCTTGAGAAGAGAAAATAATGACATAATCAAGATGTTGACATTCCACACTACTTGAAACAAAAGCTTAGGAAGGAAACCTCCATCAATACTGGAAAGAGTGATGACAGCTATTGGGCTTGAGAAGAGAAAATAATGACATAATCAAGATGTTGACATTCCACACTACTTGAAACAAAAGGTTAGGAAGGAAGCCTCCATCAATACTGG